AATTTTGTATATAAATAAACTATATAAGGAGATAAATAGACAGCAATGGTTTGTTATTCAGTCATTTTTAATATTTAATTACTCCAAATATTTAATTAAATTTAATTAATTACTATCCATATAATATATAACATATTATGTAATTATACTGAATGTAAATTTTTAAAGTTTTATTGCTCTCAATTTATTTATTATCATTATTTTAAGAAATTATAAATTATACAACAAAACAAACTTTAATACAGTAAATTTAAACCAAAACATGAATACAAATTAATTATAATAATAATTAAGTGCATTGTTCAGTACGAAATATTTGTGGAATTATCTGAAATAATAATAACATTATTCAGCTAAAGTACCATAAAGAAACCTTGATCAAATGAACTCACCTGAAATAGATTGCATTTATTAGCACATGTCACGAAATAATCAGGGTTCTCTTCCATTACAGGCAAACAAAAGTTTTGCTGCAAACACGGCCTAAACATTATGCAGTAATGTATAAACATTATGGCTATTATAACAAGTTTGTATATTTGAAGCCTTAGTAGCATTATAGTACTAGGTCATAACTAATTAAACAGCATAATTACAGATTGTCTTTACACCCCTCTGAGCAAAGTCGCAAATATGTGTATTGTGTGATATCTAATGAGGAATATTTGGAGTATTTCAGGAATTTACACGAATCGAGGCACTGGTTACACGTGGGGGTCGAGCAGTAACCGGACCGGACGTTCACTTTTGTGGCCCTGGAGTGTACGGTCGGCAATCGTGAGGTCACCTCTTGTATCGACAATTTCGGGTCAACCAGGTCTCCATATATTTTATTATAATCCCCACTAATGTAGGATTCAATTTGTAAAGTATGGCTATTCGACGGATGATAGTTACTATAAAAATGGCCATCGTTGTAATAGTCATCCATGTCATTTGTGTTTGCGATAAGTAACAAATGTGTAAAAACTAGATTAAAACTCAATTACATATATTAATTTTAGCATTGTTTTATTGAGTAATATTGTTCACCTGTTATATGTAGTAAATTTATGTTTGGTTGCATTTTATAGACAAATTATCAGTAAAGATACTCAATTATAAATTATCAATCATTAGTTAATATGTAGCATAACATAAGTAAAAATGTGGTTTAATTTCCTGTTTGTAAAATATTGAATTGAAATAAAAATTATTGAAATATAATATTATTTTAGTAATATATTTTTATAAATTATAACTTATAATACCGTTTACTGTAAGTTTTACTCGCAATATTAAATCTATTGTATATTTCAAATAATAAAAAGTAAGTCTTATTAATTTATAAAAAAAATTATATAATAACTTATAAAATTTTACAAATAATGAATTTGTACAAAAATCAGAATATTTTAATATACATCAATCAAGATCATAAATAATATATAGGTGAGTGTACAAACACCCTGATCACCCAACCCACGAGTCCCACCAACTTCTCTTTTCTGTCTTCAAGATGATCCGGTCCTGGATATCTTGTGGCGATAGGTTTGGATTTAACGTATCCATCATTATCTGCTCATTACTGTACCCACTATTATCACTCTTTCCTCGAGTCCTAGACATGGGTTCGTACTCTCCAGGAAAGGCATACCTATCGGAACGCATTCCCGAACCGCGCCTATCATTGTGACCATAATATGGTTCATAAGGTTTGCTAACCCTTTCATCGACCCATAAAAACATTAACGAAACTACAAAAGGTATAGATTTTCAAATAATAATCACAGATATATATATAATTTTAGATAACATATAAATAAATGTGAAAATATTGTGTACTGCACCTATAATCGTAAGTTTACAGGGTATAATCATATTTTAAATATGATATTAAAATGTCGTGTAAATTAATAATTATTTATTTATACAGAATGTTAAAAATAAATAGCAACTCGTGAGATGGAGTTTTTAATTTTATTTCCACAATTTATTATAAATATTATGGTTTTTATTTTTCAATTAAATATTAAATTAAAAGTACACTTAACCAAATTCTAATGTAATAATTAATGACTTGTGAGATATAAATAAATATTGTAAAATCAAATAATGAATTTTATTTTAATTCGGAATTTAAAGAATTATACAGGTACATCCAAAAATACAATCCAAAATAATAATTAATAAGTACAGTAACAAACTTATTTATAATTAACACTTAAATTAATATAATCTATAAAATCACAATTCATGTTTTAAAATAAACCTACAATAATTGTTTGAATTTTGATATTGAAAATCATCAAGGCAAACCGCATGAAATATTCAGTATGTGCAAAAAACTAATTTAACTGATTTTGTCATTATTTAAATTAATTACTTTTAAATCACATCAAAATACTATACAAGTAAATGTTTTATACATGTACAGGGTCCAAACTAATGTCAACACTTTAAGCCATGACTCGCTTTTTAACGCCATTAACAAAACAAATAACTTTTTCTGGAAATGTTTTCTTACGATTAAGAACTAAGGGCTCATACGTGACATAATTGTACCTGGCAAATAGTTCAACCAATGACTTAATAGGTGTCTCCCGGGGCACCCACAACCTCTCATCCACACATTTGCCCCAAATATATGTCCTTTTATTTGACGCCCGAGCGACCGATGAGTTACTGAATAGCGAGCCCTCGATGTCCACAAACTTTACCGAAGTATTGCCTATTCTTGTGGGCGCGAACTGATCCGTTTTGGTGTCGTTCCCTATTTGCCCGAAATAATTGCATCCAAACGCATATATGTGGCCATCGATGGTCAGCAGTAGACAGTGATTTTGACCGCAAACTATTTTGGTGACCAGTATGTCATCGCTGGTCACCAGGACTTTGGTGGGAATGTTTCGGAATCGGTCGGTGCACCCGATGCCTAACTGGCCAAATGCGTTGTGACCCCACGCGTACACGTGACCTGACTTTGTCAACACCACTGACTGGTGATGACCGCAATCGATGGCCACAACCACTTCCCGGTTGATGGCCCGCACTTGCAGTGGAATCAATTGATTGCAATTATTGCCGTTTCCTAACTGTCCCCAGAAGTTGAAACCTTTTTGTAATCAAATCAATACAAATGTAAAAATTCTCGCAGTATTTAAAATATTTAATATACAGAATATTCTTTAAGTCAGCGTATTGTAGACTAATTTTAAATATAATTTATGTTGAAATTCATAGAAAATATATATAATTTATATTTTTAGTCAATTATCACAATAATTGAGTTGTGGTGGACATACCCCAGGCGTAGACGAGTCCAGTCCTCGTGAGCGCCAGTGAGTGAAAAGCACCACAACTGATATCATCGATGAAATGTCTCATCAACTCATTAATGAGTATAAGTTTGGGGACATAGCAGTCAATTGTGGTCCGGTTGGCCAGTTGTCCGAACTCGTTGTACCCATAGCTGAACAGTTGTCCCGTTTTGGTCAACACGAGGACATGTCTGTACCCAAAGGCAAATCTGACCACTTTTTTGTCGCACAACTCATTCACGAGTGTCGGCTCAGCCACCGGTTTATTAGTACCCAAACCCAGACACCCGTTCCTGTTCTCCCCAAAGGCAAACACTTTGTCATCTTTGGTGACAATCAATACGTCGGTCCCATATCTGCCAAAAACGCTCACAGTTTTAATGGATTTGATAAACTCTGGCTTCAATTTGCGTAAAAGTTTATAATTAATGACAACACTGTTTGACATATTGTGGCACTTCTTCACGACTTTCTCATATTTCTTCATAACATTTGATATCAACACAAGAATCGAGATGAAGAAAACAATCATCAAATTTAACGCTATATTAAACCCTTGAAAAACAATTCACACAATCATTAAATGATTAAAAATGCAAAATTTTGCGAGAAATCAATGTATAGATGAATAGATGAGAAAAATAAACACTTTTAACTAATTACTAAAACCTATTATAAACAAAAATTGAGAATTACTTATAAATTCATAAGCAATAGATTTTCGTGAAATAAAAACAAGAATTTCTTTTTAGGAAGGGATCAAAAAAGTCAAACTTTCTTATCATAAGTAAGAGGGAAGAGGAGAGAGAGACTACTCATTCATCACTTGTGATGAGACTATGGGTGCGATATTAATAGCGAGGCTTTAATCTCGACGCTAACGTCATAATAAAATTTAGTTTTTAGAGCCAAAAACTTTTTGCTCAAAAATATTTTACTCGTCTCTCTCTCTCTCTCTCTCTCTCTTTCTCTCTCTCTCTCTCATCCCAGTGTTCACACCATTAGAGACACTTGTAATCATAATATTTGGCAATAAATCAAAACGTATATATTAAGTGACAAACAAAACACAAAACACTTATTTTAAAGGACATTGAAAAACCGCTTTGCTATTGAAATTCTGGGGTAAATATCTGACACATAAATAAATGCAAAACCAATCGCTGAGACATTCATATCAATGAAATTCTTTATATAAATACTGTTAACAAAGAATTTTATTTTCTTTAATAATTAGTGTCAAAATAATAGACAGAAAATTCGTGAATATAGTGTCTATTAAAACAATACTGTATTAGCATTCAGAGAACAGCTATTTTTATTTATTAACATAAATAGCAATGAAAATAATGCATTAATTTCTACACAATTACACAATTAAGACATTATTTCTAAACGCATTGTTTAAACAGAATCTCATTTTAAGGTTTAGATACAGAATATTCTGTAATATTAACACTTCATATAAAATAAGGGATTTATAAATAAAATTCACAGAAATCGATACAAAAGTAAATTATTTTCAAAACTCAATAAAAAACTATGAAATGAGTGGTAAGTCTTGTGTCACAAAACACATGTCGCTAAGAGTCACTTCCACTCGCATTCCTCCGATTGATTAAAGTCTTCAATCGATGGTGGGATCAAAGAGATCGGTATTTGTCTCGTGTCTAACGTCTCAAACAATTGCTTCAGTTCTTGTAAATTATGTCTTATATTAATGACATCGAAGGTCCTATCGTTATCTCGTGCGGACTCCGAGTCCGTGGTATTAAACCTCTTCCTCAGCCACACATCCAAATGGGTCTTCGCGTCGAAACCACTCACTTGTGACACATTTGGTGACATCGGAGCCATTCTTCTGGAGTCCATGCGCTCAGCGATGGCCTGATGTCTGAGCTCTTGTAGCCTATCGTACGTCAGGTGTGAATGAATGCAATTATCACCGAATTTGCAGAAGTTATGTCTGAAGTAATGATTGCAAACACTTTTGTTGAGCTCATCCCTCAGGTGATCGGCCGCTGTCTTAATGGACTCATAATAGCACTTCTTGGCCATCAAGTGATCAGTACTTCTCAGATGCTTTCGACGACTTTGCGGCAGATCTTTGAATGACCGCAAACAGTAGTCGCAGTCATATCGGCGACCCATTCCTCCGCAGTCACACTACACGTCCCCTAAGACACCACCGATTGATCACCAATTCATTGCTTCATACAAATACTCACGCCTATAGTGAGGTCTGTTTGTCACGTGACTTATCATTGTATTATACACTCAATGGTGTGTCAAATGGTTTGTGATTTAATTGTCATTAAACTTGTCATTAGTTTTTGTCAATTGTTTTTAAATAACAATCACATGAATGCACAGTATTTATGAGTCAACTCACAAACAACGTCCTAATGACTGAGCGCTACATTTGAATGAATGGGTTATCATTTTAAACTTTTTTTTTGGCTTTATTTAATATTTAATTATTTTTATTAGGTTTATATAAGTTTTTAATTATTAAATACTCAACAACTATGATTGAATAATTTTTAGAAATTTCTATTTATAATTTATTACCGAAATCCTAACTATATTTTCATTATTCATTCATAATGAATATAATGAATATAACCCCTGAATATAACCCCTGAATATAACCCCTGAATATAACACCGTAAGGCGGGTCACTTACGAGTGTAAAAATAAACATAACCATTATTATTATTATTATTATAAACTAAAGTTACAATTTTTAATCTAAGAATTTATTCATTTAATATAACTCACTGTATTGTTAAGCCAATGATCAAGGTTAAAATAATGACCATTTCTAATACACTGCAATTGATGATCCATTAATTAATTTAAAGTTTTAAAAATTAAATTACACATGTTTATAATAAGTAAAATTAAATGCACTGTAATACTGGTACAGAACTATTAAAGAAATAAGTTATAAAACTAAATATTTTTGTTATCAATTAATTGAATGCGAGTCTAAAACCAATCGTTTAAACAGAGAATCATTCAAATCACGAAATTCTTGAGACAAACAAATCTCTTTCATATTCTTTGCCACCAATTCTAAGCATTTATTTTCCAATTCTTTTAATTTCAGATCAATTGCTTTGACATACAATTGACACACATTTGAGACACCAATTGATTCAATCAAAAACTCACAACAACTTTGTTTCAGATCTTCTTCGCCGTAAATGTTGGCCAAAGTCAGCAACTGATCCACAATTTCTCTGTTGATATCAACACTATTTGTGTATAAATATTGAATAAAAGCCAAAAAACTTTTATATGAATACTGTTTGACACGAATTTCGTTACTTTCTGTATTCATATGTTTTTCACATTTTTCCCAAAACTGTTTGTTGAGAATTCTTAGTATAGTTTTGTGACCATAAATGAGTTGATCTTTAAATCTGAATATAATGTCAGAATCTTCGGGATTATTGAATGAATTGCATAAACTGTTGAATGCTTTTAATTGCTTATTGATTGCCTTTGCGTCACCTAATGTTGAATTCACTAATTTTCCATCATTTGTGATATGATTATCATTAATAACAGTGAGTTTAATATCTAAATCATTTTCTTGAATAACAATACGTGAAGCGTTTGTCTTGATTTTCAATGACTGATCCGATGAATGGTATCTTAGATTCTTGTTTGGACTGTCGTGTGACTCATTTGAATCTCTGGTCATTGTGTTTGAAAGTTTGGAAATAATATCCGAGGAATCACTTGAATGATCATTAGTTAACTCAATAATAGTTTGGTTTGAATCAAAAGTCTTGATACAATCAAAATCAATGTTAATAATAGCTTTGAAAGTAAACTTAAATCGTGAATAATTGCTGAATATTTCAAAAAGTGATTTCTTTTCCTTATTTAGGACTTTGTTTGGGAACAGAAACTGTTGTTTTCGACACAAACCCCAAACATAGTAGTTATTATCAACTGAAACACCAATACATGATTTACAATAAATATGGCTCACAATGTCTTTGAATTTAGTTTCTGAACTCATTTTGATGGGAAGGCATTGATTGTCTTGAGTGCCTGTTCCTAACTGTCCGTCAGAGTTGAGACCAAATGAATAGATATCTCCATCAGTGGTCAGTAACAGTGAGTGTTCGGCACCACAAATGGCTTTTGTAATGAAAGGCAAAGAAGTTGATCCCAAAAGTTGTGGTCGATATTGTTTAAAATAGTTACCACTCTTTTCACTATTTTCTGTCGGTATACCTAACTGTCCGGACTTATTGTTACCCCAGACATAGACATTGCCGGTGTCTGTCAGTGCCATTGAGTGTGATTTACCACAAGAAACGGATATTATTTTGTCACTAAAGTGAATGAGTGTCGGATAATACATGTGGTTATTAGTTCCGTTGCCTATCTGTCCAAACGTGTTGCGACCCCAACCATACACCTGTCCCGTGAGGGTGAGCGCTAATATATGGGAATTACCACAGCGTATGTCCACCACTTGTTTGTCAGACAACAGATCCATGAGCTGAGGCACTGACACCGATTGGTTGTCTGTCTGTCCACATCCGAGTTGACCGAATTCATTGGTTCCCCACGAATAGCACCGATCGGTTTGTGTCAGTCCTATACAGAACTGATACCCGAAGTAAATGTTTGCCAATCCTTTGTCTGTGAGATATTTGTTGAGTTTGTGTCCATTGATGTGTTCGTCCGCAACACCCAAACCCAGACATCCCCTCGAGTTGTTCCCAAAGCCATAGACTTTGTCCTCTTTGGTCACATAAATTCCGGTTTCGTTCGTTAAAACACATAATATCTTCAGATTCTTGTATTCTTCGAGTTTTAAACCCTTTCTCATGGATGCAAACGTATTAAAATTCAGTAACTGATCCATTAGTTTGTCTCGAGTAATGAAAATACAAAAACACGTGCTTTTAATCAAGTGTTTACAACTTAAACCAGTTTCCAACTTTGACCATGCACATACATCAAACATAAAACGCAACATCACCATGTAAAACTTTACAAAATAAATTATTTGCTATTTATTATAAGCAAAAAAAATAATTTAATTTTAATAAGGAATTTTAATTAACACTTTAATAAAATGATTTTTTAAAAATAAGTTTAAAACTTTATAAAATACAATAAACTAACTTATTTGCAAATTTACGAATCTATTAAGAGTAAGTCTAAAATTAATTTCTTAAACACGGAATCATTTAATTCACGAAATTCGTGGTTCAAAGAAATTATTTTCATATTCTTTGCCACAAAATTCAAGTTTAATAATATATATAATGTTTCAATTGTAATACTGTAGTAATGTTAAATAAATATTTAACACGGACTATTTATTTATAGTTTTCCATACAGAAATTGGAAATTTTATTTTTATAATTTCTATAAGCTTGTTTATAATTACAAATGGTAAATTAAATGACAAGAAAATCCAAAATAGATCCCAGGTTCTACCGAGACTCGAACTCGGATCGCTGGATTCAAAGTCCAGAGTGCTTACCATTACACCATAGAACCATACTATTAGATAACTGCCGTATAATGCAATCGATCAGTTATTACTATCGTGAGACTAATTAAAACTATTTTAACATAACTTTTATAAACANTCTAAAATTAATTTCTTAAACACGGAATCATTTAATTCACGAAATTCGTGGTTCAAAGAAATTATTTTCATATTCTTTGCCACAAAATTCAAGTTTAATAATATATATAATGTTTCAATTGTAATACTGTAGCAATGTTAAATAAATATTTAACACGGACTATTTATCGTAGATATTATTATCACAGATATTTATAGTTTTCAATACAGAAATTGGAAATTTTATTTTTATAATTTCTATAAGCTTGTTTATAATTACAAATGGTAAATTAAATGACAAGAAAATCCAAAATAGATCCCAGGTTCTACCGAGACTCGAACTCGGATCGCTGGATTCAAAGTCCAGAGTGCTTACCATTACACCATANTCCCAGGTTCTACCGAGACTCGAACTCGGATCGCTGGATTCAAAGTCCAGAGTGCTTACCATTACACCATAGAACCATACTATTAGATAACTGCCGTATAATGCAATCGATCAGTTATTACTATCGTTAGACTAATTAAAACTATTTGAACATAACTTTTATAAACAGTAGAAATTAATTAATTATCACTTCATTCATAGTCAACGCACAGCTGTTTCAGTAAAATGAAAAATAATTTTTATGCACTGCAAGCAAAAAATATTAAAAAGCCTTTTTGCGGGATAAGTAGCCTTTTTATGATTATATCTAGCCTTTAAGATTTCTAAATAGATTCAATGCCAACAAAAACTGCTTAATATTCACTTGTATTAAGCCTTATGCGAAAATAAGGATAAAAATATTAATTATCAGGAATATGAAGATTTATATTTAAAATATTCATTTATTAATCAAAAAATTTATAATCATTGAGATATAAAACACAGAAAAAATATGTTACAACAAAAACATTAAAATTTGATAACAATTATCAAAAAATAAGTCAAAACATAATACGATATCAATCTTTGTCTTATAATATGTAAAAGTAATACAAAAATTCAATAATAAATATATTTATCATAAAATGCATATCAAAAAATAAATGTCTTGTAAATATGGATTACTGTAAATGGAATTCATAATCAATGGAAT